AAGCACTGTTTTAAGTGTTGGGGAAACAGCATTAAAAAAAATCCCTGCTTCCATTCTAATAACCATAATTTTACATTAATGATAACAGCATCTGTTATTTATTGAGAATGTACTATGTGCTGAGTACTAGTGGTGGAGCTGACATTCTAGTAACTATCATTTTACTGCAAGAATTATAACAGACATTTATTGAGCACTCTGTGTGCTGGGTGCTATGCCAGAGGCTCTCCATTTTAGCCTTAAGACACTCCTATAAGGCAAGTACTAGCAAACTTCATTAAGTCTAAAATATACATTTCTTCTTTACAATTTTAGCACCTCTCAATTTGAGATATATCTTTTAATCCAGGAGTCCCCCCACCCCTGGGCTGCACAGCAGGAGGCAAGCCAGGGAAACTTCATCTGTATTTGCAGCCACTCCCTAGTGCTAGCATCACCGCCTCAGCCTTACCAGAGATCAGACATATTAATCTCATAGCCGGTCTCTGGTGCCAAAAAACATTGGGGACCGCTGTCCTAATCAATGATGTCTCAACGTTATAATGGGCAGTCTCATTTTAATTAGTGGCAAGTCATAATTAACAGTGTTTTAGAGTCTATGAAATCCAGTATTATTCTTACTTTACAGAGGAGAAAACAGAGGCAAAGAAAACTTAAGTAGCAGCAAGTTCATACAGCTGGTAAGTGTAGGAATCAGAACTTAAAGTTTTGAATAGGAAGGTAGCTACATAAAATCAAAGACCAAATTATTCTATTTTTATGGCTATTTCTAACAACTGAGTGGCTACGCTCAAAAGAGAATTAAAAGCATAATTAGATACCCTTTTTCCTTAATAGGAAAGGATTTTAAAAGTTAGTTTACATAGTGTGTAGAGGAGGCTACAGGGAAGGAAGCACTCTTTTACACTATTGACGGAAATGTACATTGGAACATTTTATTTAGTGGTATCTAGCAATTCCTATCATGATTTAAAATGCACACATCTATGATCCAGCCATTCCACTTCTAGAAATTTATCATATAGTTAATATTTATACATGCATGAAATGGCATATGTCTGAGATTATACACTGCAGCATTGCCTATAAGATCAAAAGATCAAAAGCCACCCAAAGACCCATCAATAAGAGTCTGGTTAAATAAAGATGGTAAACATCTGGTAAAGAATATAAACATTTATTTAAAACAAAAGGGAAAAAAAAATGAAACAAAAGGAACAAGGCAGCTCTTCATGTCCTGACATTATTTCCAAGATATGCTATAAAATGAAAAAGAAGCAGAAGAATTTGTAGTATGTTAATATTTGAATCGAAAAGCATGCTTGTATCTATATAAAAACACATGTAGTATGTGCTTGTATACGCAAAAAATAACTCTAGAGTTATACACACAAAACCATAAATAGCTGCCTCTGAAAAGGGAAGCAGGGGTCTGTAAGATAGGGTTAGGAGGGAGATGTTCTTTGGATATGGTATTAAGTTCAAGTATTACTATTTTACAATTAAAAACAAAGAATGAAGCTAGTACATGCTCTCATAGCTGTGGTAATTACTACCAGAACATTCCAACTATGTAGTGACATGGACAGAACCCCAACTGGGAATTAAAGGGCTGGATTTTAACCCTGTATGGGATGATGGGTAAATGCTTTTTATAGTTATGGTATTCAGATCAAAAGAAAAATAAAATATATCACATTCATATATACAACACATTCTAGTCCATAATTTAGGGTCTTTCCCTGGAGGAGGAGAAAAAGACAAGTAAGATAAGACTCTTGTCCTAAAGATATTCACAGTGTAGTAGGTAGAATAGTTATGTCAATAATAAATATATAACAGGCAAAATAATTACAATGCAATATTTGTTGCCATACTGCCTAATGGATTATGAGCATCTATCCCAGTTATTTTGCCTGCCCCCTAGAAAAAAACCTCACATTTCTTAAACAGAACTATAAAAGAATTTTAAGACTATGATAAGTCAAATAACTAAGACATATGCATGTCATTGTGGCAGCATGAGAACAATTCTCTGTGTGCATCAGAAAACATGCAAAGAAGGTGAAATTAAAATGGGTCTTAAAGATGAGTCTGGCAGGACAAAGGGGCCTTCTCCTTACCTATGCAGCAGAGGTGGGATGGGGCAGGGGTCGGTGGAATTACATGAGCCTTGAGGACCTTCCCAGGTCTGTAGTTTAAGACCAAGGGAGAATGGACAAATCCAGTGTTGAGTTTTTATATCACTATCTCCAAAGGAAGGAAAGTAAGTATGAGAATGCGCCATGTTGAAGATCTGAAGAATTATATTCCCAAGCAGAAACAAAATGGAGGGTAAAAAGCAAGAACATCTAAGAAATTGAGTGTAGAAATGAAAAAGTATGTGCAATAGTAATAAATATGAATACAAAAATATGGATAGGGGAAGATGATTAGCTGACATTGAGAGACAAACTAAAGAAAAAAAAAAAAAAAGGGAAAAGAAAAAGAAAGTAAGTGCACCGTGGCAGAGGAAGGGAGTAAATTAAAAACTTTAACTACATCAACTTAAAACTTTGTTTGAAATTAAGTTAGAAAACAAGAGTGTTGATAAGAATAAAAAGTGGAGAATCAAGACAATTAGCTTTAAAATTACCCTTGTCCAAAAAATATCTAAATTGAATTAGAGAAATTCCTGTTTTATGCATGGCAGCTGGATTATTATGCTTTACAGTGATTAAAAATGAAATATTCTCCTTCTTAACCCATGTGTGTTCCACATAATAGAGTTAAATTAAAAATAACTTGAGTTTTTAAAACTCTTTTATTTTTATTCTACACATGTGGATTTAAAATATCTCTGGAATTCTGAAAGGCACCCAAAAGTAGAGTGTTGAATAGTGGAAAAATGTTAACATTCATTAGAAGAAAGTGGTTGACTTACTTTCTTCCCATATGCTAAAACCTTAGTTTTCCAATGTCGAGAGAAGAGTGTTAATGTGCATACTAAAAAAGCACAGTAGATGCTAACTGTAACCATGACTTCCGGATCTTGCACAAAAACCCGAGGGAGAATACATTATTGGCTCATGGAAATACTTTCATTTCACTATTCTTTGTCAACAGAATTCTGGAAATTCTGCAGGTCAGAATCTGTGTCAAAGGTAGGTAATCATATAAGACCGCCACAGAGACTGGGGCCTTTCAGCTGCTGTTAATAATGTGCTGAGGAAGACACAGGCCAGGCCTGGGGAGCTTATTCCACAATCAGCATCAACCCACACTCCACCAATCACAGGACTCTCGACAGTCTTAAAACTTGAGCAGTGGAGCTAAAGAAGAAAAAAGCAATAATAGCTTCCTCATTTCTCTAATGGATGCCCACATTACTTGTTTTAAGCATTCTCATTGCTCAGTACATCTCAATAAAAATAACTTTGGCTACAAAGAAGTTATTAATTATATTTTATGAAAAATGTATTGCTGAGACACAAAGTATATTTTTCAGGGGGAATATAAAAATTATCTTTTCTTGAAAATAAGATATGGACACTTTTTAATTTAACTTCTTTGTGCCTTCCAAGCAATGATCCAGAAAGATTTCTCGTGTTAAAATGTCATGAGATTTTAGAGAACCAAAGTCAAATGAGTAAGTTGTTTGATCTTCTGAATTAAAATAGTAAATGTTTGAAAACTAAATGTGTCATAGGTGTCAATCTTTGACCAGGAGGCCAGGCACATTATATAAGTATGAAATGAGGAATAGGAACAAATTTTCTCAGGTCCTTCATATTAAATACAGGGGAGGCTTTAAAATAATTTTTTACTTCTCTCCATTTTGGATGTTTTCCTTTTCATCTTTCTATCTGTTTGATGAAGTGAAATATGTAATGGGCATGCAACTAGGGTTGCCAGATAATAACGAGATACACAGTTACACATGAATTTCAGATAAATGAATAAAAATTTTAGTGTGTGTGTGTGTGTGTGTGTGTGTATATATATATACATATATATATTGTATAGATTGACAAATACCATACTTATCCTAAAAAAAAAATACTCATTGTTTATCTGAAATTCAAATTTAACTGGGTGTCTTGTATTCTTATTTGCTAACTCTGGCAACCCTAACAGATCAAGTGGATTGTGTTCTAGCCAAGTTTGCCATCCCATTGGGGATGGGAAAGGTTGGTAAGTGGTGGTGCATATTGGCGGTGAGACACCAAAAAGGGTTGGCGCAGGGTATGAGAATGGTAATAGATTTTAACTTGGTGCAAGGAGTGATGATAGAGGACAAGCAGAAGGATAGTTTTCGAAGGAGTGGAGGATAAGATGTCCAGGCATGGGTGGTACATACATGTCCCCTGGCTCTTCATATGATGCAGTTCCTCTGTACCCCTTTGCTCAGTTCTTCATTATGCTAGTGAATTTCAGAGGCAGTGTATAACCAATGACAGTAAAAACTGAGAAATTTTTAGACTGGATAAGTAATTTGAAAATACAGTAACTGCCATATCTATGTAGGTCTTCTTTCAATTATTTACTTAATCAATGCTTTTATACTGAACGTTAGCAAAGGATTTGATCATGAACTTTGCTTTTTCCCTTTTACTAACATTCCTGGTGTGCTTCGGTGGGGAGGCAGAGGGAAGATAATATGCTACTAAATATGCTACATTCTTGAACAATGACCTGGGATACTTTTTGTCTTCTGAATCATGACCCCACCTGCCCATAAAAGGAAATCCCAAGTGCTAGCTAGTGTCCTGATAAATGGAACAGGACAGCATTCTGCCTGTTTCTAACCTGCCCTGCTGCCATTTTCCCATCTCCCTGTATCGTGACTTCAGTTGATTCTCTCCTTAATCTTTCTCACTCTTTTAGGCTTTTAGGCTGACTCACCCTATTACTCTGGCTTAGACATCCCCTGCTGTGTTGGCCCTAAAGAATTCCAATCCTTTGACTGGAACCACTGTGTTGCCAACCTGTCCCCCCTACCCCCCACAGAGGGGAATTAGGGAGGAAAGCAAGTCAGACAGGGCTCTATTAGAAACAGAGGGCCTGGCAGTTCCTAATTGTCCTCATCTGTTAGTCTCTGATAATAGGACCTGATGTCCAGCTTAAAACAAGTTTCTTTTGCCTCAGGCTGATGGTGAGTGAATCAGGTAAAAATTTTTAGGATAAGCTGGGCTGCTTTACTGCCTGCTTACAGAGCGGCCATTCAGTGAATCCTCAATGTTCTTCCCCGTCTATATCTGTCCTCTGCCTCTCCTTACTCCTTCTCACACCTTCATTTCTACGTAAAGTTTACCCATTTAGATTTAGATTTGGGATTGGGCAGAGAGAGGTAAGGTAAGAAGGCCCCCTTAAGCTTGAATTGCGTTTGTCAGTCCACCTTTTATTATAGTGTCTTACACTGAATTTTCAGCTACTGGTGGCATACAGGTGATGGACATGGATGGTGGAGCTAGACAGCTCATAACTTGTGAGTTGTGTGACCTTGAGCAGTTACTTAATCTTTCCATGTCTCAGTTTCTACATATGTAAGATGGGAGATAATAAAAGTATTCATCTTATAGAGTTGTTATAAAGATTAAATGAGTTATTACACATGTAAAGCTTTGAAGATAGTGCCAGTTACATGGTGTCCTTTAAACAGAATAACACCAACACCACCACCACCACCAACAACAATAATAATAATCCCATCAGATTCGATTCTCCTTGTTAATCCTCAGGGTAAGTGGCAAGAGAATTCTGGCATCTATGCGTCCCTAGATATATCATTTTAAAAATACTAATATCTCTGCCATTTACACAAACTTCCAATACCACCCATTCCTGCATTTACAGTAACAAAATAAACTAACATATAAAAAAGGTTTAATTTTTAGAACAATGCCATGTTGGAAGGAAAATAGAAAAACAGATAGGTACAATATCAAAGTTAGGCTCAAACATGATCTGCTACTCAACTTGAATCATAAGCTGAGGAATGTTAAAAATGAGGAAAGTGCTTTTAAATCAGGTTGGCATAGATTAGAAAGCAAAAGAGTAGCTAAAGTTATCTACTTGTGAGGCAGGAAACAGCTGAAACGGGCCTATATCTTCTGTAACAATTACATGGTCACCTTAGGAGGGAAGATATTTTAACAAATGAAAGCATAGATTTTAGACCAAGAGAGCTCCTTTACTTACTATGTCCTTTATTTTGAGGTTGAGTTATTCATTTGGCTTTAGAGTGAAGTCAATGGGGCCAAGAAATGAGTTTAATATGTACTGAAGTGCTCACTTTTGTGTGTTTCAAGGCCATAACCTGAGCATGGTTTTAGTATGACATGGGAAAATATTACAATAAGGGAATTCAATCAGACATTTATCCAATTGTTCCTGATATTTAGCAACACCCCTAAAATGACTTTTTAGACATTTTTTAGTCTTTGCCAAAGATGGGGAATAGAGTTAAGTGTACAAATGGCTTTGGACAATCTGCTGCAGAGAACTGTTTTAAGCATGGCATAAACATGCCAAATCAATAACTTGTTTCTTTATCTGCATGTGCCATGAAAATCTGGCTATCATAGAGTGCCGGATCCATTAAAAACTGAATTTGCTATTTCCAGACAGCAGATAACTCAAAGCTCAACAGGGCCAGCAGGCAGTAATCCAAATTCCCATCTCCCTCTCTAGAAGAACAACTCAAAGCACTCTGTTGCTACATTACGTTATTCAAAGCGCAGGGGATAATGAAGGCTTGACAACACTGTGGCTGCCTCAGGATTGAGTCAAATGGCCATTATTCTTCAAACATAAAGAGCTGGACAAAGTGACTTTTGTTACCTTAAATCACTAGACAAAACTGATTAATGGAGAAATGTAAATCAATATATGATTTCCGGAATGGAACTAACTGCTCCTTTTGCTTAAGGTATGATATATGTATTTATGAAACTTGATGTTACAGAGACTATTAGTCTCTTAGGGAAGAATGGACAGTGGTAGAAACCAAGACATTTTTCCCCTAAGACTTCTGAAATAGATTTTTGCTGTATGCATCTGTCCAAATGGAGCTGCAGGAAATATTTTATACTTTTTATTATATAATATTTCACCGTATACTAGCAGATATGAATTCCCAGACACATTTGTATTAACGACAGTCCTTATGGTAGTCTTAGAAACTGTGGATTATAGAAATACATAACAATATTTTTTGTATATTTAACACTGCAATTAAAAATGCATTGTACTGATACATTAACATAATTATTCCACTCGAGTTACTCCTAGAGTAATTTTTAAGATAAAAATATCTTATAATATTCTCAAAGACTTAAATACCTTTATAGTATCTAATTATATAAATGAGTAATTTGAGAGAATATTTGTTCTATCCTCCTCGTCCTTTGTGCTCACACATTTTTTGTCCTTTACCCAACTACCAACACACATTCAACCATTCTTTCACTGTTTCTCTTTTTTAAAACCAGTCTCTGCCGTAATACTTCATTTATCCAACCTTATTAAGAACCAGCTGTTCTTAAGTGTTTTTAAGATAAATAAAATTTATTCTTAAAATATCAATGTTTCTAAAAATAAGTTATATACATCTCTACTATTTTAAAACAAAACATGTTTATTTAATTTTTTTATTTTTTAAAAAAATTTTTAAGGCAATTTAGGCCCAATTATTTTACCTCAGGGCTACTAAAATGTATAGGGATATTTGGGTATCTGGGTCCAAATTAAATGATTCTGGGCAGCTGCACTTTCAGAGTTCCTCTGTTAATGACATAGTTTTTATGGTCTTGGCCTTGCCTTCATTTAGAATGCTGCCACTTCTTAATGGAGCTCTGACTTCTTGAAGCAATAACCACCCTCTTTTTAACTGCTGCTAGGGTTGAATGTGGTTTGGGAAACCAGGCATCTTTGTTTGTTAGAACAATTTTTGTTTTAAGTGGCCTGCTTGTGGATGGGGGACTGAAGAAGTAATGAGGTGGGGAGAATTAAATAGTAATTTTGACAGTCTGGGCCCAGGCTGGCTTACTTGCAGGTTTGAGCTGTGTTTTATAGAGCTGAGATTGCTACACAAAAGACCTCTGGCTGAATAAAACACTAATGTTCGTTTTCTATCTATTCATATGCTAACTTTTCAAGTGTATTCATACATAGATTTTTTTTTTTGACACATAAATTTGTTTACAGTTCAACTGATATATGTCTGTGTACGTAGAAATATTATTAAAATAACACTAGTCACCAAAAGAAAAAGCTTATTTCGACAACCCAGGAGCTATACAATAATGTTACTTCCCAGGTGTATCTGCTGATTTATGTCTACAGATGTAGAAAATTATTAAAATAGCAATAGTCATTAAAAGAAAATGAGAAGCCTACTTCACAAAATTCAGAAACTAAATAGTGACAACCTGTTAAAGATTCACTTTTAATGGTTGAGTATGTATTAATTCACATAGACTAAGTGTGTTTAGGAACTCTGTCAACTTTGCAGATGTTAAAAACCACTATAAACCTAAACAGAATTTTGTAACTTTTTCCTTGCAAGCATTTTCATATTTTATAATAGCTTTTCACATTAGCAGATTATAAACATCTGTATTTAGCTAAAAAACCTAGATTTCTCCCTGAACACCTAATTCTGATAAAATGTAACAGGAAAAGAAGTAAGGAAAGAAATAAGAGACATCTTTTATATGCATAGCAATATTTTCTTCAGGCCAAAGACAAAAAGCACATGCTAATTTGCATAACTTTAATATAAGTCTTCTAATTATAGCCTGCTTTACTTATCCTTGAATTAGCCAAAGGAAAATTCAACTTTAGGTTGGCTTCTGTCACCTAGAAGGCCTCTGGCCCTAAACCTTTCCTGGTTGTTAGTATGATGTGTTTTTAGAAATTACAAGCAATGTTTATTATGTGTTTATTAAAATAACTGAAGAAAGAATATAATGTATAAAACATAATCAGATTACCTACTGCTTTGGATTCTCTTTACCAATATTCTCTTTTATTAGGTCAGATAAGTGGGAATTAGCTTTGGTCAAAGCCTTTCTGTATGTCTGTATTATAAGGACTCCTGAAAAACATATTTTTAAAATAGACATGGAACCACAGAGGTAACAGTCCAAAATGAAATTCTTCCAGTCTCCAGTATTTTCCTTAATACTCATTCTGAGTGCACATTTTGCTCTAAGCTTTGTTTGCTTTTTGTAACAGCATTTAAGAGAAAACCAACTGACCATTAACAACCTAAACAATGACTTTAGAATACTATTAAGAAGTGCACCTGGCCTGAGTCAAACAACACAGTTTGTTTAACCTGGTGACTTTCCTGTGTCTGGGGTTAGGCAGGAGCAATCTTGGGGGAAGGAAAGAACAGCAAATATAACTGACTCCCTGAGAACAAAACGGTTGCACTAACCATCCTTTGAAATTACAACTGTTTTAACAGTTTCTAGTAGGCAAGGCTATCATTTAAGTGACCCGCTATAATTTGGGATGAAGCCCCAGGAAATTATGTCAACTTCAGAACAGGAGTTGTATTTCTGAGTTTACTCAGTATAATGAATCCACTAAAATGCAGAGTATTCCTTCTTTGTTATAAATTTATATGAGGGAAGTATTAACAATAAAAGGAATCTAGTTAGAGAGGAAAGGAATACCATAACATCCACTCCAAGGAGCAGATCACAGTTTACTTTTTGCAGCTTTTTTATTATAGAAAACTTCAATCATGTAGGAAAAAAATACACAGAATAGAATGATGAACCCCCACAAAACTCATCATTCATTTTCAATAATCATCAATACATGGCCAATCTTATTTTCCTCTATGCTACCCACTCCCCTCCTTGAAATTTTTTTAAAGCAAATCCCAGACAGCCTACATTTTATTTTACATAAGCTTTCACTTACGATATATGTATATATTTAACCTAAAGATCACCCCAGAAATCTCATTGAGCATGAGATGTTTAAACTGACTTTAACTATCTCTTATAAAATGTTTTACACTCAAACCCGTCTGCCTCGAAAACTCATTTGTTTGAATATAATTGGTTAATTAAAAAGACAAAGTAACCTAAATCGTAACCCTCTATTATTGTATTTACAGGGGGTGGGGGAGCAACATTCCAAGACTGAGAAAACAGTGCACGTTACCTAGTCCCTGTGATTCTAGCCTTTGTGGACGATAATCAGCACTAGACAAGGTTAGAAGTAACACAGACCTGCCCTGATGTGGAGCTTGGAAAAATGGGAGGAGGCTACTAAGAGGCAGGAGCTGCTTCAGAGACTTTTCTCTTTTCCTTCACTACACATACAGAATAAAACAGAATGCCAACAATGTCAGCATGCCTTGGAAGCTTCAAAAATCACTCATAAAGCAGTCTAGCTACTTACAAAAATTTATTACCCATCTTAAAGTGAAGATCAAAAGGAACTCCATCTAGCATTTATATTCAATTCCTCATTGCCTGATGAGTAATTTGTAGAGGAATGAAGTCTTCACAAGGGAAGCCAAAATAATCTGAGGTGACTTTGATACAATGCCACAAAGGATATGAAGAGGAAGCCAGTAGAAGCTGCAAATGGCTACATTCCATTAAGAGTTCTAATAAAAGAATAATGGAATTTCCCTTAACTGTGAATTTGAAAAATGTTAGAAGTAGGCAAAATTTAGACAAGTCAGGAAAAACCTTTGATTTGTCACAGCCTTTGTTATTGTTGTTAAATGTTAACTTTAGCTACTGTTGCATTTATGTTAATTACATGGCCTCACCTAAAAAAAAATGCAACTTTCCCATTAGAAATCTGGTTAATCTCATTCCTTTTGCTGTGTTACTATCAGCCTGCACCTTCCGTCTGCATTGTCAGACACTACTGGCTCCCTCAATCTCTTTCAAACAAATTGCTGTATTCTGCAAAGTGATTGATTTTACTTCAAAAAAGTAACTTGAAATGATATAATGTTTAGTATTGTATATTGCCACAGTCACATGGAGCATAAATACCTCTTTTACTAATTTTTGGTGCTTATGTCAATTGGTCACTACAAAAACACTATAAGTTATTTAAATTCTTTTAATTTCTATGAACAACTGGCACGATTTTTTTTTTCCTTCTGGATCCAGACATCTTCATATTCTCAACTGAGGAAAGTAGTTTTCACACTAGTTATTTTGGCTAGTTAAAAAATCTCCACCACATGTCTCCTTGTAAATTCATAGATAAAGATTTAAGTTTATATTAGCAATTCAACTGTGCAAATTTGTTTGCTTCTGAAATCACCTCAAATTAACAGATTTACTGGAAGCTTACATGATATAGAAGTTTTACACAACTCTCAGAAATCTTGTAATGTATTTCCCTATGAAGATCTAGTGTTGAGCATTTTCTTTAAAAACAGTTGTAAGTTTATTTTAAGAGTCCTTAACTTTTACAAATATATGGTGAAATACTTATAAGTGAAAAGATGTCTGGGAAAAGATGTCTGAGAGGGACTAGAGAGCATTGGGTATAAACGAATCTAGACTGGCCATGGGTATGTAAAGCTGTGGGATGGAGACGTAAGGGTTACTACACTATTTGGTCTTCTGTGTAGCAAAACTTGTAGCAGTGGATATTTCAGATATAATGCTATGCACAGCTTTTTGTTAGGGTTTTTATTTAGAAAGATTGCTTTCTATCAAGAGCAATGAAGAACCAAGAGGTGGCAGTTAATAGTTCAACTATCTTTACGAATTAAAAAACCAAGTCCATCCCTACGGTGTTTGGTAAAGAAAAAAAACAAACAAACAAACAAACAAAAAAACCCCAAATCTGTCCTTTCAGTCTTTAAGATTTCAGTACCAATATGTAAGTAGATTTTAATGCTAATAAAATTATTTTAGTTCAGAAATACGCATTTTCTGTTTTCTTTTAAAGAGAGATTTAAGAATTAAAATGGAAATATAAATGGAACTGGTAAGTGTACTTCAAAATCATATATATCAGTGAAAATTGTGCTATATATTGAGAAAGACATCTACTACCTAATACACTAATCAATGCATCTCTTACCTTGTGATCATATGGATTGTAAGAATGAAATACCCGAGAAAGATCTTTTGTTCTTTGCTTTTTCTGTGGAAGAAAACACAAACATTTGCGTTAATAGGTAGCAAAAACATGTACGTGTGTGTGTGTGTGTGTGTGTGTATGTGTGTTTGTGTAAGAGTCCATATGTGCATCTCTCTGTATCTTTCTATCAATCTGCATTAAGATATTGTTTATCAGAGATTCTTCCTTGTGCAAGGTTAAGGGTGGCAGTATCAATCTGGGACATGTGGATGCAATGAGAAACCAAAGCTACTTTGCGGGTCATCGTCACAGGCCAGCCAGGCAACCTCTTCCTAGAAGGTTTTATAATTAAAACTCCAATCATCATCAAAAACTCTATTTTATAAATACATAATTCACAGACTAAACTGAAAAAAAAATTGAAAAGAAATTAAACTCAAACACATTTAGGAAACTTTGAATTTCATTGCAATACCAACTGCTGTTACCCTGAATTGAACACTAGCAAGCGTCCATTTAAACAATTTACCTCCTTCAGTCCTCCTGGTCACAACTTGTATCTGTCTGCTTGAGCTGCCTTTGTTCTGCCACTGCTATATAGCCCAGGTGCAGGGCATGGTGTTTCACACACCATAGTCACTCAATAAATATTTGCTAAATTAATGAATAAACGAAATACCTGAGTTAGATAGGCATAGAACTCTTAAGTATTTGTAAGATGGCACATAAACCTCATAATATAGTAATGAAAAGAGAAGCCTCTTTTCACTTCTAATGATAGATTCTTCTCAAGCCGAATCTAGGCATTATTCAAGTACCCTTTCCACTTCTTGCTCCCCCAGTGTCTGTTACAATAAAGTCAACTATAATTACAATTATGTTACAATAATTATAGTCCAGTATAAGAATCAGCTTGTTTTCTCATACCCTGTGCTCTGTACACTTGCCATAACTAACATGAACAATTTTATGTATGGTTCTAGATCTGCTATGCATATATCTTCACACATAATCAATTACTATTACTTTTAAAGGGGATCATTCTGTGTATACTGTTCTGAAATTTACTTTTTCCACATCACAAGTTATTTTTGCCAAACTATAAATGTTTGTAAATCCAGACCCGCAATCCCTTATATAACGTTCTCAAATCCAAAAACTTCTGAAACCTGAAACTTTTTCTGCAATTCATTTCAATTTTTTAATATAATGATTATCTTTGCACAAATATCTTTGTGAGCTTGAAAGTATGCATGTTTATTACCTCCATAGATACTGCCAAACTGCCTCCTCCCAAACACAGTACCAATTTGCCTTCTCACTGAAAGTGAAGGAGAGAAACTGAAGCTTAAGTTGGAAATTCTTAATTTCTCTTTTCTACTTAAATGTTAGAATATTACTGAATTTACAGAAAAGATAAAATACTTTTAAAACAGAGATTGAAAACCTTCCCAGCTGCCAAGTGTAGGATTTTTTTGTTGTATTTATTTCTTGTACATCATAGGGTTAACCATTATCACATGTTAAAATTTTATCATGAGAGTGGCCTGTTTGTCCTTCATTCGGCTCCTGTTTTGCTTCTGGTTCTACTTTGATGTTTTTAATCCAACTACCTGGTAACTGAGCTGTTTCTATCTTCACTTGGGCGTGAACTCTTGCCTGGTACCCATGTTTACTAAGGAAGTATTTCTTTCCTTTAAATTCCAGTGTCTGCATGGGGACGTCTGTCATCCCTCTCCAATACCAGGGATCTAAGCGGATCCCACTACTTGGGTTCCACATGATCCTCTGTAGCCACCTGGCTAAGTATTCAAATTTGATATTAATTCGGACCTTGTATCGAAGTCATCTGTACACAGTCATAGTTTTCCCATAGACCAGTTTCCCTATTTCTGAACTGTCTTTGGAGTCAATATTCCAGCTGGCAGTCCTTTGAATCACTTGGCCACATTATGACACTCACTAACAGTTATCCTCCCTAATGCTCTACTAGAATTCCTACCTCATCCGTCCACCTCTCAGGAATCTTCTGACCATCAAACTCTAAAGTTATTTAACATCCCTTTTCCCCAGAGAGCAGAGATGTATCTCTAAGCAACTGAAAATAGTTCCTCGGCTCTATGAGCCCCAGAATCTGTTCTGAACAGGTCACCTGCCCACAAAAGTTTTCATTAGCTTATAATTTTCTCTTTCCTTTCCATTCACCCACATAGTTGGTATAACAGCTCTTGGCGTATACTTCAGTTAGAAGAAAAATGATGGATACTAACACTTCCTTTGGTAGGAGACTTAATATAAAACATGGCAGATTTTTTTTTCTGAAAGGAAATTGTGCTAGAGAAGATAAAGCAGGGAGCACATCAATATTAAACTTAGGAGCTATCCCCAGGTCTGTTTAGTCCCAGAAATGGCTGCGCTACCAGCTTCAGTTGGCAGGTGGACACGAAATATTCAGAGGTTGTTTGTGTGACTCTTTTCGTGGGTTTTGATTTAATATGTCTGTTTGATAAAGATGCCTTTTATTATAAGCTATCTCAAATTACTTTGGGAAGGAAGTGGGGTATAAATGATAAGTAAATACACTCGGATTAGCCCCCAAAGAAGCCATTGAAGGAAGAACATTTTTTTTCTGACAACAAATTTATTACATACAAATACAGTGAAGTCTTGGCTATGAATGTTTTAGGTTGTATCAGTTAACTTAGTCTAGTTAACTGAAAACCATTGCTATTTTTTCTGTGTAGTCAGAGCATTAGCTCAGTGCTTCATCTTCTGAAATCCAAAATAGGGGTTGGCAAATGATGGCCCATGTGCCAATTCAGCCCACCACCTGTTTGTGTAAATAAAGTTACTGAAACAGAACCACACTCATTCAATTATGTATTGTCTATGAATGCTTTCATGCTAACATAGCAGAGTTGAGTGGTTATGACAAAGATTGTATGGCCCATACATTCTAAGGGATTTACTATCTGGCCCTTTACAAAAAAAGTTAGCCATTCCTGATCTTGAATCTCTATCTTTGACCACGTCTATTTCTGAAAGTAGTCCCCTGACCCCAAACCAAATGAACAATTAACTATCCGGCAAAATTTCTTGCTCCTTCTATTCACTCAATGAGAATAGTTTAAGAACCAATCACAACCTATATCTTGACACATCAGGAGAATGTATCAGGCAAAATAACAATTAGCTATCTTGTTTTTAGGATTTACCTTTTGAGCATTCTATGTTCAGATAGAAAATATTATACGTCGCTTTTTAGAGCATGATGAAATAGATCTGGGGTTTTCAGAACCTTCTGTATTCACATTATCACTGCTGATAACAGATACTCTTCGAGAAGAGACTCTTTACTAAGTTCTAGCACTAAAGCCGAGTAGAAGGTTTCACGTACAAGTAACTAAAGCATGGCCATTATTGCTAGTGAGCCAGTTTCTCATATGAAGACAATGTTAAGTGTACTATGCTACAAAATAGGCTTGCTGAGCCTTGCTATCAGCAGTTTTAACTGAAACTAAACGCTGAGCCAAAGTGGAATAATTAGGTATTTTCCTATTGCATCACAGTGTGTGTCTAAATTACCTCCCACTTTTCAACTTGTTAAAACAAACATCTCAGTCATGCAACCACCTGTTAATTCTCCAAGTGTTTAAAAAGTAAACATGTTAAACAAGTTGTGTGATGAGCTTGTAATGAGGGTGGCCAAAGTACAGTGAATACGGCAAACATCTATTCCCAAACTGTAAAGGTGCCTTCAAGTCACTGTTATCATTAATCCCAAAGATCGGGCCCAAGAGAGAGAAGGTTATTAAGAAGTAAGTACATGCTGAGTCTTGCAGCCTGTCTGGGCTGCAATCTGGTTTAAAAGATGAAGCAGTATAAAATTTGGTAGAATTTCTAGATTTCTGAGAAGCTAAATACCTGCAGATCTCCATCCTGTAGGTATTCCCTGAATTGCTTTTCTATTTCACTTTTTAAGAACAGAAAACACTGGTGACCTCTTTTAGATCCATGTTTAAACCCCTTTTTCAGATAAAACCAAGGCCTCAATGGAGCATTTTTAATAGTTCAAGTTTCCAGACAATGTAATCATTTCAATTTTTATCAAAGGCATACAACAAAGTTCATATCTGAAAAAGGCTCCATAGGTGATAAGAATCTGTATTTTGAAGGTGAGCTTATCCAATCAATTAAACTGTAACAATATCCACCCATTTAACTTCTCTTGGTTCCCCAATCTAATTCAATGCTTTCTGTGATCATTCTCTGCTTGTAGATTAAAGCGTTCTCAAATAAAATAGTGTTATTATAAGCTAATATGTAATTTCTACATTTGGAGTCTCAAAAAACTAATAAAACCTACAAGCCTTCAGAGAGTTTGATAAACTTAAGGTATAAAATATAAATGTTTCGGCAAGCCTTCATCATACTTTGTGGTAAGAAGCCAAAGAGCAGGTTTGAATTTCAATATACTAACTTCTGGTTTCCCATTCCATGTGCCAGGAGTTTGGAAGTCACCATTCCAACCTAATAACAAGTAAGAAGCTGAACAGAAGAAAAAGAAACAATTTTTCCTGGGTCCAGAAGAGAGGGGAAGACACAGAGAAAACTGCATCCTCTAGAACTGAAGAGAATAATAGGCAAATATAGGGAATGCAACTTCTGGGAGCAGAGACTCAGGGTGAAGCTGCTGTAGGAACTGGTGCTCAGGTAGGAAAACTTGAATTGTAATTAATGAAATGCTGGAGTGGAGGCTCAGTGCACACAACTCCGAAAGCTAAGAACTCCAGGGAGAGCCAGTCATGGAAGGCCCCACCATATTGTGAAATTTACCTCCAGGAGCTCAAACAGATTCCCACAGTAAATACCAAGAAAACTCCTTGGGCTTCCTTCTGCCAAAAGGAGGGGAAAAGGAAGCATTCTGAAGTACACTAGTGAACTCCGTTCTTCTTAACAAGACCTACCCTCAGGGGAAACTGGTTAACCAGAGTCTAACCTGCTGGGGTATTATCAGAGCCTACCTTACCTGGGGAATGTACAGCAGTACCTTTTAACCAGTACATCATGCCCAACTATCAAGAAAAATTACAAGATATAGCAAAAGGCAAAAACAAAACAAAACAAAAACAAAACAAAACAAAACAAAAAACAAAACAAAAACACAACAATCTGAAGAGACAGAGCAAACATCAGAACCAGATGGCAGAGATACTAGATACTAGACTGGAAATTTAAAACAATTATCATTAATATGCTAAGGACTCTAATGGATAAAGTAGACAACATTCAAGAACGGATGGGCGATGTGAGAATAGAGATGGAATTCCTAAGAAAGAACCACAAAGAAATGCTAGAGCTCAAAAATCCTAACAGAAATGAATAATGCCTTTATCAGTTTATTAGTAAACTAAACATGGCTGAGGAAAGACTCTATGAACTAAAGGATATATGAATAGAATCTTTGAAAGCTAAAAAGCAAAGAGAACCAAGATTGAAAACTACAGAATATCCAAGGAATGTGAGACAACTGCAAAGACTATGACATGTGCATGATGGGAATACTACAAGAATAAAGAAAGAAAGGAATAGAAGAAAAATTTGAAACAATAATGACTGGGAGTTTTCCCCAAATTAATGTTAGAAAGCAAACCACAGATCCAGGAAGCTCAGAGAATATCAAACAGGACAAATGCCAAGAAAACTGTGTCACATCATTTTCAAATTATAGTAAATCAGAGAGAAAAATCTCGAAAGAAGCCAGGGGAGAAAAACACCTTACCGAAAGAGGAACAAAGGTAAGAATTACATCCAGCTTCTCCTCAGAAATCATGCGAGCAAGAAAAAGAACTTAAGAGTTGAGAGAAAAAACCACCAACCTAGAATTCTGTACCCTGTGAAATTATCCTGCAAAAGTGAAGGAAATAAAGACTTTTTCAAACAAAAATTGAGGAACTTTATTGCCAGTAGACCTCCCTTGCAAGATATGTTAAAAGAAGCTCTTTAGAAAGAAGGAAAATATTATAGGTCTAAAATTCAGATCTGCATAAAGAAGAGCACTGACCAAGGAAAAAGTAATGATAAAATAAAAACTTAATTTTTCGTATTCTTAATTGATCTAACAGAACAGTTTGTTCAAAAAATAACAGCAACAACATATTCAATTATGTATGCTTACGTATTTATGAAATGAATGGCAGGAATGATATAAGGGATGAGAAAAAGGAATTAGGATTATTTTGTTATTATAAGGTACACTACCAGTGAAATAGTATTGTGTTATGTGAAAGTGGATATTTTTTTTACTTGGATTACTTGTAAATGTATGTGTATTGCAAACTCTAGGGCAACCACTGAAACAAGTTTACATATACTTAAATATGTATATTTAAGTATACCTGATATGCCAAGAAAGGAGAGTTTCAATGTACTTATTTTTTCCTGTCCCCTTTCTGGCAGAGAACCCAAGAAGTGGTCAACTAATCAACTGGCAAGTTGCTACAGAAAAGTAAGAATGAAAAGATAAGGAGCCAAACCAACTCACTAACTGGACAGTCAGGTTCTGAACAGCTGAACTTTATGTCATGCAGGTGCACTTGAGACAGCAAGGCTGTGATGGTGTGGTAGGGACTAGGAGAGTTCTAAACAAATCCCAAAAGAAGACTGGAGTCAAAATTCCAGACAGTAAGGGCTAGGGATCAAGAACTGGTCAGTTACACATGCCAGGGACAGACATTCATAAGAGAAGTCAGAAGACCATATCCTGAGGCAAAAGGGTGGAAATAGCCCAGAGGTACAAAATAAAAACAAATGACTGAGGGTCAAAGGGGTCCTTGGTGAAGAACTAGTCAGGAACTAAGAGAATCACTGTGAGGCAGGGCTTAGCAATAAGCAACAAGAAACTCTGAAGTCAGGGATAAAAAAAATGAAGTAGCCAGGAAAACTTCAGAAGTGAAGTAACTATGCAGGATGGGGTCTGATGCTCAGGTAGGTCTGAGTTTTATACCTGAGTTTTATACCTTAGAGGTCTTCTATTATACCTGCAGGGGCAGGTTCCAATTGTCAGGGTGTAGGCAATGCTGGGTCTATTAAATTCAGTCTAAACGGGACAGCATTTAGTTGAAGAGGGGAAAATATAATAGCTTAATGGAAGTTCAGTTTTTGACACAAGCCAACATGAGAAAACTCAGTTTGTAGATAGATTATGCTCTTTATAAACTGTAAGAAAGTAGCTCAGGTATAGGCACACAGAGACAGAGAGAAAAGGAGTTAGCTTTGTTGAATCAAAGAAATTGCTAAGTGATTAGAGCACATGATGCAAGAAATGTGACAAATGATCAAATCTGTGTTTCAGAAAGAGTTTCCTAATGGTGTTAGAGATGGAGAATGAGAGCAAGGCTAGAGGCCAAAGATGGTGTGAGAGGGTGCTGCAATGGTTCAGAAAAAATGACAATATCTCAAATTAAGCTAGGGGCAAAGGGGGTAAGTGAGATGGATCTGAGAAATAGGTATGAGGCAAGATGGAGAACACCTGGTGACTGATTAGATAGGAATACAAGAGAGTGAGGAGCAGAAGAAAACTCCAAGATTTCTGGCTGAGATAACAAAGAGAAGAGTGTCCTACACTGACAGAAGGACTCTAGACAAAAAACAGGTTTCGGGGACTACAGCAGGGTGAGGAAAGAATTCAGTTTTGAATATAATGAGTTTGAGGTGGCCGGCTGTGAGACATTTGGAGAGATAATGAGAAAGAAGTTAGATATAAGGGTATGGTGCCATAAGAGAGAAATGGACCATAGATTTGAGAGTCAGGAACCTATCGGTATACTTTAAAGAAGAGAGGAGATGTGATTGCACTGGGAGTATACAGAATGAAGGAGACAAGAAGATGAGAGAAGATTGAAGTTAAAATCCAAGCAAATAATAGCTCTCTGACTTCGGGCCATTTCTGCTCTGGACTTCATATGTAAAATGAGAAAGTTGGATTAGGCCAGTAGTTCTCAACTATGGTTGCAGGTTAGAATCATTGGAGAGTCTTTAAAATATACCAGTGCTAGTCCTAGTCGCCAGTGGCACTGATTTAAGTGGCACGGTGGGATCTAGGCAAGCCTATTATTGAAGAGCTCTTGGGCTTTCCAATGTGCAGCTAAAGTTGAAAATCACTAGCCAAGATAATCTCCAAGTTCTCTTCCAATTGTTAACCATTGCTCTTTTAGATTGGTTCCCCTCTGTCTTTTGGCTCTTGCCATTCTGAATTCAGAATTCTAGCAGGCATGTTCACTCTTAATCTCCTCATTATGTTTGAAGATTTGCCTGATTTCCTGACCTCTTTCTTTACTTAGAAATGGACTCTACACAGGAATTCCTCTGGGGCACATTCAGGCTTTGGCTGCAGTGAACAGGCTGCTGTTATATATTTAGTTCCCTACTTAGTGAGTGCTTCTGAAAAATAAATGGAAAGTTAATTTAATAACCTCGAACCTTTATTTTATTATCAATGTATAAAACATCAGAAGCTTAATTAAAAGCACTTGACATTATCAGCACTCAATCACAATCTAACTTTTATACTGTATATATTTGGATGGTGTCCCTAAGGTAATATTTATTCAAGATCACAAAGAAGAAAAAACAGGTCCCTGGATTTTAACATGAACCTCAAAATTTAGAAATCAGTTTAAAAAATTCAATGATGTGAAATATGTTTGGTAATCAAAATAACCAAAACTACTCAGAAAAGCAGACCAATTTCAAAATCTCATCTGTTTTTCCTTTATAAGGCACACATAATACCTTCATGTTCAATGAGAAATAACTAAGGACATAGAGAAAATAAAGAATAATAAGACTGCTCTAACTCTACACATTTTTTTCACCTCTTACTTTCTAGTAAGATCTGCAAGATAATTGAGATGACTATAAATGCTGTTGACTGTCTTAAATTTCTTTCTCTCCCTCCAGTCACAGCAAATTCAAGGAGAGTTATCAGGTTCTTTAGTTTCTCAAATCTCCGCAGTGGGTGGGTGTGTTGGAGCAGGTAATGTGTAAGCATTTCTTGAGGACATTAAAACAGCAGAATTCTAAGAGTGGAAGTTGGAAAATGGAGAAGTGAATTTGTTCATCCAAGTGTAATGGTATTCAAATAAAATAACCTGGCAAATGTGGAAATGTACCACTGACTCTAAAACACAGTAGGTATCAGCGGGGAAATGCTTTTTTCTTCTTTTTTTTTTTTTGCAGCCCTTATGGTTTCTAAAATAACCTTAGCGGAGCTGAACATGTAACAATCAGCCTCTCATTTTCACAGTGTGGTTGGTAGAGGAGCGGTGGCACCATTTACCCTGGCAGGTCCTTAACTAGGCAACAAATGCTGGAAGAAAATGCAAATAGGAAATTCTGCATTAATTCAACAATAGTTGATAAAATAAAATCTAAGTAGCCATATCTTCTTATATCAGACTCACCTTATTTTCTAAAGAGAACATTTGTTTGCAAGGAAAGGTCATTCTCTAGCAACAAAGGCAAGGCTGGCACATAAGAAAGGAAGGAGACTTAACTACTTTGTAGTAATAGGTGTTGCTAAAATGAGTAGCCATTACAAGCAGTTAGAAAAGAAACAGCCTTTTAACATAAAATCCTTGCAAGGTAAAAAGACAAAGTCCAAGAGTACTGAGTACCGCATAAGCACAATGGTTCCTTCAAAGTTCCTTTCTGTGGCAACTTCAAAAGTAGCACACAAGAACACGAGTTGCTATAAATATCAATTCAATATCACTTATCTTCACTCTGCCTTTATAACTAACCACAAAAGAGTTAACTCTATTTCTTATCTGCATTATTGTAGCAATATTTTCTTTCGTGGACTATCTGGGTCCAATTTTCACCCTCTAAATCAAGAGCCGAATATAGCTGGCCACCTATTTTTTTTTTTT